AGTGTACTAGGTTTTTCCAAGACTTCCGCTTCTGCACATTTCCTGTCGTGTTCTCTCTCTCTTTCTCTCAGGGGGCTCACATGTAGCATTAGTCAGACGGGAATATGGCAGCCTTTTGGACACCGTTACAACAGAGGTTTCCCCAATTTTCGGGGAAGTCAAAAAACTGGCCAAAATGTCCCATGTCTTGACTTAATCCTAAAAAAGATAAGGTACAGAGATATTTGACGCCGAAATATATAAGTAAAGCACCTTTTTCAAGAGCTAATTTTATATAGAAAGCCTTATCTGAAAGATTAGTTCAATGCAGGGATTAGTAAAAAAAAACAAGAGCGAATGCGAAACAGGATAAGAGGAAACTCACTTAGCAGTTGAATTGCCCTTGCTCTTTCTCTGAGTTCAGGCTCAAAGTATTCTATAATAAGGGCCACCAAGTTTCGAAACATTTGGAGGGCCTCTTCAGGATCCTTGTTGTAGATTGTGGCCCAGGCGTTCCTGCCAATATTGTACTGTCAGGAGTGAGAGAAATAAAACATGCCACAGAGGCAAATTGAGCCGCAGGAGAAAAATCACCAAAACTGACACACGAGAGAAATCAGCTGATTTAGATAGATTTTAGGTTTTCAAAATAACCTCTGCTGTTCTTCGTCGACGTGATGGATAGCGCAAGGACTGACAACTACAAAAGCCAGGTAAGTAAGCACACTTTACAGTCGTGCTTCATACAAAACAGAAAACGTCCGCGAATAACGTTTACATGAGGCTTTGAAATCCGCGGATCACAACCAGAGTGACGATAGTGCGTGACTCGATAGTAGCGTTTAGCTGAAGATTATTCAAGCCATAGTTTCTGCACCGGGTCCTGCCAGGCCGCAGCTACAGTGTGGGTTGCTGAAGGCCGCATAAAACTCAGGAATGGCTATCACATGTTCAATTCGTTGATGAACGAACGGAACTCATCAGTCCCGCTGTGCCCAGCACCTCGACAGAGTACCTGACAGCCGTAGTAGG